CAGCAAGTTCATCGGATACATAAGCTAGAAAGGGAATCTTGGAAAGGACCATAAGAACATAAGGCCTGAATCGACAGTCACTCACATTAACTGGGAGAACAAGATCACTTTCCATCCCGTTGTGACCTGAATGAACTAAAAAAAGGAAATCAAGTTTGGCCCGATTCACGCGAACCAGGCTCGCAATACGTATTCACCTTTCGCTAAGATCTGCCGAAAACAAACTTTTTATCAGATCTTATCTTCGTTTAGATTTCCTATTCCGAAAGAAACAAATCAGATTCTGATGAGAATGTTAGTTTCCTAAGATTCCCTCCATTCACGTCACCCACACCACCATTCTTTCACTGCAAGCAGCGGGAGAAACAACAACGGTTTCATCCAGAGTTCGTACGGGTGCGTAACTTTATTGTACACGTACGAGATCAATGAATACATGCACCAGTGTACAGTGAAAGAAGGCATACTCGGCCGTCTCATCAAACTGGTGGCAATCAGGTATGTCTTCTAGGACCGCCTTGTAGTTCACGTCATTCAGATGTAACGCATTCCAGGCCAATCACATGATGAGATAAAACTTGCGAATTCTATCATTATTTGTTCTTCTAAGCGCTATTTCTACCATTTTTGTTGTCCTCGCTTTAGGAAGTCTTCAAGTTGTGTAGGTTGTTTATAGATTTCGGTGAGTTATGTGCCAAGGGAAAGGTGATTATGTTTCAGATTTTAGTTACAATTAAAAGTTTTGGCTCTCTTTACGAAAGTTCCTTATATGTTAGAGAGATGACGCTATCTTCTTTTAATGAAGAAATGTATCTTTTTTTTTCTTTAATCTTGACAATTTTTAGAGACAGATCAACTTTGTCAATTAGTGAAAATTACATTAACCCAAATAAAGTCTAATCTTATTTATTTTTACCGTATGTTTAATTATTCGCCTGATTTAATTAAACTTGGAAACAATATTACATTGTCTTTTTAAGCAAGTTTTCCTTGGTATTTCTCGCTTTCATCAATTTATGTAACTTCTTTCATTTGTATCCGGAAGCGATGTACGGATATTAGCGAGCAATCATGCTAATTGCTGATTAATGCGTTCAATCTTCATTGGGAGCACTATACTCGTAGGTCTGAGCCTCAAATACGCTTACTAAATCTGTAAACGGTGAAGTAATGGATAGCGGCTCGGATTGAGGAATCGGAGAGCCGAGTTCGAATTCCAGTCGAATCAATTTCATTCACTTTACCTTTAGAAAAAAAATGGATTCTCTTCTTCTCCCCGCAGCTATGGGTAAATAGCAGGACAGACCAGGTTCTAAATCCTTGGATGGCAATTAGTCTACCTCAGAAAGAAATGGCAAACCACTGCGGGAAATATCTACTCGTCAGTCATATATCAAAAGATACATGATTGCCTAAGTGTGTATCACTCATGGCACATAACTGACATATGGTATATCTATTTAATTATTCATAAGAAAGCGATGGATTTGTTAGTTATTAATTCGATAAGTTTTTATTACTTAAAAGTTATTTCCGTGTATACTCGTTAATTTATTAAGCAGTATATTTCTTTATTCTTGTCTACGGGCCTAAATATCTGATCTAATGAAGTTTTCCCTTCGGGTAATGCAGGTTGGATTCCTATAAGACATTTGTCAAAAATGCAACGAAGTTCCGATGAAGTCCAAAGCGACGAAACTTGTCACATGAAAATACTTTCCACCTTACCATTCGCCTAAAATAAAATTAGATGAAAGAAGAGAACTATATTAATGTGACTATCTGTGATTCGGTTGTGCAGGGATGTGACACGACTTATCATTACAGTATCCTAAATGTTTTATTATTTATGATATAATTTGACTGAGATCACGTTACATAGGTAAGGCTCTTCGTAAGTGTTAGCGGTACATGTGGGAAAAATCTTTGTATTTCTTTAAGGCATGGGTTACCAGGAATCACTTCAACATGTCTATCGGAATGTTTACCAATTAATCCGAGGACTCCAACTACGACTGGAATCATTGATGTCATAATTTGCCACATTTTTTAGATTTCTACTTCAAGATACTTGTATTAAGATAGATTGTTTTTAAGTTCTTCAAAGATGCATTACAATCTGCAGGGACTGCCATTTTAATAACAATGCATATTATATTCCTGTGTTTTTATAATGATATTATTATTATTATTATTACTTATAGACATTATATAAAGAAATATATTTCACAGTTATCAGTTTTTATCTTCGAATCACATAGATGTGTCAATCACTTTTAATGGTAGATCATAATTATAGTCAATTACTAAAGCGGATGTGATGCGTGATGAGTCAGTTTTCCTACTACGACGCAAAAAAAAACTAATGCGTTTTTCAAAGACGAACTTCGCGTTTTTTCATGAAGCATCTCTATGAAATGTTTTGGAGAAAGTTACAGGTAAAAACTTTCTTCTGCAAATTGGCAGTCAGTATTTTCGAAGCGGCTACGATCAAAGAAAA